AAAAAAAAAAAAAAAAAAAAAAGAGGAAATAATCTGCCAGAAAAAAGGCCAGTGTTGGAGTTTGAAAGGTCCCATGAGATCTGGTGCAAATAACCCACCAGAGCCCATCTGCAAACTGCCCTCATCAATGATATCACTACTGTTTGATATCACCCTGCCAGGCAGAGCCAGACATTCTGCTGCTCGGGCCTGTCTCATTTGGCATCAGTCTAAGCAGAGTCCCTGAGGGGGCTGCCAGGAGCCCCCAGGCTACTCACAAGGGGGAGTGCCTATTAGGAACCTCTGCTTTCTTTCCAGATGCGTCCAGGACTAATTAAGAGATTAAGAGGAAGGCCACAGGTGGATGTCACAGAGCCATTACTGTCAGACTCATTCCTTCCCACTCTGGAAAGCAGAGGCTTCTGGGCTTTGCCACTTGCCCAGCCTCAGGAAGGCCACACAAAGCCTGCACCTCCCAAACCGGAACATCCTCCCAAACTGGAACATCCAAGGAATGACAGCTCTCCTAGCTGGAAAACAGCACTAAAATCAAGGGGCATTCTTCCATTGAATCCTAAGGCTCCTGAATTGGCAGGGAAGCCTGGAGAAGGAGGGTGGGAGAGAGAGCAGTAGCCCACTCCAGCATGGGCCAAAGCCATCTTCCTGGTCTCATCCTCACTTTGGGGAGATATGTCTGGCATAGACGTAAGACAGCCCGGCATAAGTTTAGTCTGTGTACAGATGTCGTATCTTTGTGAGAGGTGACCATCTATTTCCAAGGCTCAGGCCCTGCCACCAATCAAATCAACAGGCCCAGGACAAGGCCATGGGGAGGGCAGCTGAGGAGGGGGAAGTTCTAAGAGCTTTCAGGGTCACACTCTTGTACAGAAACCAACATCAGAACTGACTTTCTGTCCCAGGAGGTCAGCCTCGTGAGTTTAGTGGGTACTGTGCTGACCTCTGGGCCACTTTAAGACCACTAATAACATGTGTGGCAACCCCTGTCTCTCAGTGGTATAGCCCCCAATGGCCATATCTATCTCAAATGAGCCCTCCCACCTGGCCAGATAACAGGCTGAGTCCCAGATCTCTCATCCCTAGCTCTAGACTTTTGGGTCCCCTGGCCATGTATGCCCACTAGACTTTTCTGTGTAGATGAGAAATTAACCAGCAGGAGCAAGGTGGGTAGAAGGGGCCTTTTAAGAGATCAAAGCACTGTAAAGAAAAGCCCCAGCTTTGAGTTTCACACAGCCTTTCTTTGCACATACAAGCCCTAAGATCCCACCACGCCTCTGCTAGAATCACAGTCCCCAGGGCAGGGCCTCATGCTATCAAGATCAGCCTCCCTCCCATCTTCCGGTCTCTGTCCCCAACATGATGAAAAGCTCCTAAAGGGGAGCAGTCTACAGTTAAATATGAATCCTCACTGTGGTTACAGTGGGTTATGCACACGCATGCATGTAAGTGTGCATATGTGTGCACAGACACCCCCTAGATTTGCCTCTCCATCCAACTTCTGACTCTCAAAACTAGGGCACATGGTCCCAAGAGACTCAAAGGGGAAAGAACAACAACAAAAGACTAATAGTCAAGGGAGATACACACAAAAATACAACCAGAGTCACAGTCATAGATGCAACACAGTCCGACCAGCAGAAAAAGGCTGGAGATGTAATAATGTTCCACCATCAACCCTTAAATGCCTTCTGGCTCTCAGCCGTGAGGAATCACTATAACATCCTCACCTACTGTTTTTTAGAAGAATGTGTCCCTAAATTAAGACAGCATACCACATAGGCAGACTCTCACCCTGGGCTCCCTCTGACATCCAGCCTTGGGAAGCAAGAAACCAAGGCCAAGGGGGCTTCAGAGGCAAACTGGCAGAGGCCTGAAAGTTCTTTCAAGAACTTCCTAGGAATGAATATTCCCTACAAATAGAAGACCCTCCAAGACACCCTACACATTGACCCATCATAAAACAGTCATCTCCCTAGAAAGCTCAGCAAACCATAGAGTGCCACACAACTTATGGTCGAACGGTTACCAGTTTTATAAAGGATTCAAAACACTACCTCTCCTCCAAGGATGCCAGGCAAAACACCAAGCAATGGACCTCACCTTCATTCACGTCAGGAAACCACAGGAAGTATTTGAAAAAGGAAGCAAAAGGACGGGACGCTGGAGGGGACTTCCTGCCCCACTATACACAGCCCCTTTCGTTCAAACCACTCAAAGGGTTCTTTCCCGGGGGCACAAAGCCCGAAAAGTAGCACAATAGGGCAGAGGGACCAGTTTGGAGGAGACCACAAACTCAGAGGAGCCGGATTAGAGACAAGCGGTCCTCCTCCCAGGCCATACCCCAATAGCAGGCATGCTTCAGTGGCGTCCTCGATGGGACTCCGTGAGGGATGCACAAGGACCACTCACCTCCTACCTCCGCCGGACTTCAGCCGACCATCTCCCCTCTCCGCCCACTCCCGCCTCACGTACTCGGCCCCCAGTCGTCTCTACGCTCCCAGCCTCTCCGGTGTTTCGGTCTCCCCCGGCAAAATCCGTCTTCCGGCCCCTCGGCCTTCGCCCGCGGCCCCTGCCCCGTTCCGCCTACTCCGCTGCGGCGCCCGCCCCCGCCCCGCCTCTCCAGGTCTCTGCTCCGTAACTGCTCAGCTCTGCTCGGCACCCCGGCGCGGCCCCTCACCCGGGTGGAGCCGATGTCCATCATCACCTCCTCGAAGGCCGCCGTCTCCTCGGCCTGACGCTGCTTCTGCAGCGCGATCTTCTCACTAAATTTGCGCGGATTGGAAGCCGAGGATGTGGCCGAGCCAGGCCCGTTCGCCCCCGACGTCGCCATCTTCCTCCCCCGTCGCTCCCTGCCACCCTCCCAGTACCAGCCGCGGCCTCCGCCGCGGCTCCGGCCCGGCTCTTCCAGCCGTAGCCACCGCCGCCTCAACTAGCACCGCGAACCCGGCCCCAGCCTAGCCCTGACCTGTTGCGCGCGAGGGCCGCCGGGAATTGTAGTTTGTTTACGAGATTCCTTCACGTCCCCAGTCACACGGCACCGGAAGGAAACGGACTTCACTTCCCAGCAGCCCTCCTGACTCCGGGAACTGGGAACTTCGCTCCACCCTCTCGGCTACTCCCTGCGAGAGGCAAGCTGGGAAGAGTAGTTCTAAATTAGTCCAGAGACTACGAACGCAAAGAGGAGAGGGATTGAGGAGGAGGAAACGTAGAGGGAAGAGGACGGGAGGGGAGGAAAGAAGAGGGGAGGGGAGGAGTGGAGAACGGGAAAGAAGTACCAAGACACAAAGAAGGAAACATTTGGTCATCTTTCAGGGAAGGGCACTATCGGAACCTGAGTGAAAATTAGAACAAAAATCTTACAACAGCTGGAAACATCTGGGACTCAGACCCTCTTAGGCTGGCCACATGCCCACCCCTTTCCCAAGAAAAATGAGTCAGATACTGTACAGATGTCTAGAAACACCTTTTATTTGGGAAACAGGTCAGTTAATAAAATAGATTCTAAAGAATATGGCTCTATGCACAGCCCTCCCTCCCAAAAAATAACCCTGGGGGTAGGCATTGCCCTTCCCCCTTGGGCTCCTCGAGTATATTTAAAAAAATGTTTTGGCAGCTCAGTGTTTATCATCTGGGCATGGGGCACCATGTCCATGTCCCATATTCCTAGAGTACAGCAGCAGTAGGTGGCTGCAGCTTTCCAACCTTCCCCCTACCCCAGCATAGCAAATATTTCTGCCCCACCCCAGGATCTGGGACCAAAATAAAGAACACGCAGGCCCCCTTCACTGAGGTGCTGGGTAGGACTCAGTGCCACATTACTGTGCTTTGAGAAAGAGGGAGGGGATGTTTGGCACTTTAAAAATAGAGGAGTAAGCAGGACTGGAGAGGTCAGAGAAGATACCAAAATTGGCAGGGAGAGACCATTTGGCACTAGTCCCTGGGAGATGGGAAGAGGGAGATAGATATGAGGGTAGGAGCTAAGAAAAGTAGGAGGGTTCCACTCCAAGTGGCAGGGTGCTGGAATGGGCTAGGACCAAAAGGACACTGACTCTAGGTTTATGACCTCTCCATACCCCTGTCCCACAGCAGCTGGTGCCCATCTCCAGACTCCCATGTCAGCCTGTCCTTATGTATAGTGTCCAACCTCTGATTCTAGCAGTCAAGTGTCTTCCCAATCCTAATGTCCCCTAATCATGTCTCTACGGACTTGACCATCTCTTGTTCCTTGGGACTGGGGACAGTTTCTTGCCTGCTCACTTCCCACTCATTAGTCAGATAGCCCCAAAGGCTCTATCTTTAGCTCCCAGAGAACTTTTTGGTCCTCAGTACTTCCCTTCTCCATTCCTTCCTATTCCCCACACACTGGGGGAGGGAAGGGAGAACAGGGGTACATGATCATCAATCTCCCCTGCCCCTCTCTTGAAGCCCCCTAGATTTGGATGAAGAGCAGGCCAGTGAGCAGGGCAAAGCCTGCTAGTAGCAGAATGACCTTGAGGATCCTTTGCTCAGAACTGGCCAGCTCCTGGGGCAGGATTTCCAGAAAGGTGATATAGAGAAAGGTGCCAGCCGCCATGCCCTCTAGCACAGACTGGGCCAGCTGGTGCAGAGGTCCTGCCGATTCTGCCAGAGCCGCACCCAGCCCGATGCCTAGAGGTGTCATGCATGAGAAGAGGATCCCACAGCCAGCCACCACCTGTGCCCTAAGATGGCTCTGCAGCAGCCGGAGGGACAGACTGACAGCCAGGATCCCCTTGTGGAGCAGCAAAGCCAGGCACAGCTCCATGGCCCGAGCCCGGTCTCGCTGCAGCCCTACTGCCAGCCCCTCAAACACAGAGTGGAGGGCCAGGGAGAAGACCAGTACACAGGCACGCAAGGCTGAAGGGGTTGCTGGGGCTCCACTCGCCTGTGGAACCCCTGGCCCATCATGCCAATGCTGCGGCCCACCGTTCACTGTTCCCAGCAGAGCCCTTGTTTCCTCCAGAGGTGGCGGCCCTGACTGCTCCTTGTAAGCCAATGTGATCTGCTCCATCACCAGGACCAGGAAGAAGCCCATGGCCAGGATGAACTCTTGCAGCGGAAACTGGAGCTGTGGGCAGAAGGGGCAGCAAAAAGTTCAGGGAAGGAAGAGTGAGATGCAAAATCTGATGGAAGCCCAGTTACACAGACTTAGATTCCCAGACAGACACAGGGTTACTCTCAGTTACACAAAGATACAGTAACTTGGTAGCAATGACACAGAATGATACACACACACACAGATTTTGGTGTCACTCACAGTGTTACATGTAGGCCAAAGTTTCTCAGCTTTGGAACTATTAACATTTTGGGGCCAGGTGCAGTGGTTCATGCCTATAATCCCAGCACTCTAGGAGGCTCAGGTGGGCAGATTATTGAGATACGGAGTTCGAGACCAGCCTGGCCAACATGGTAAAACCCTGTCTCTACTAAAAATACAAAAATTAGCCAGGCGTAGTGGTGGACACCTGTAACCCCAGCTACTCAGGAGACTGAGGCAGGAGAACTGCTTGAACCCAGGAGGCAGAGGTTGTAGTGAGTCAAGATTGTGCCACTGAGGCCGGGCGCGGTGGCTCAAGCATGTAATCCCAGCACTTTGGGAGGCCGAG